TCAGTTTTAGATCACTGTAGTTTTATGCTCTCATGTTTGTCGTGGCTCTTTTAGGCCAGTGGAGGAGGAGCTTCCGGCTGTTCTGAACAACAGATCCAACGTGTTTGATGGTGACGAGTTTGACGTCTTCCGCAGAGAGCAGGTGGACATGTCCCGCGTCTGGAAGGGCCGGAGGTAAAAGCACACATCGAGATAATCACCGATCGGGAAGTTAAAAAGGAAAGTGGACGTGTTTTCAGTGAAATATGTTCAGATGTTCACTTCCGTGCTCTTATTTCAGGATGTTTGGCTCATAGCTCAAACTCTGCGCGCCCTTAAAGACGCTTTGTTTTCCTGCAGGAAAGGTGAGAACGTTCGGGAGATGCTGAACGACAAGCGGCACATAGCGGAACAGAAAGCTCGTTATCACATGTACGAGACAGTGGTGGACGAGGTCGTCGTCGAACCCGGAGAATCCGCGACGGCGTACGAGCTGGACGACTACGACGACGAGTACGACGACACCTACGACATGAACCAAGTGGGCGCCAACGACCTGGACGGAGACTCTTTACTGACCAGAAGGTATTTTTGGTGTCGCTGATTATGATGGCGTGGAGACGCAGCGAGCCGGAGTTAATTTCTGTTTCTCTGCAGGCCGTTCACGGTACCGCAAGTACTGAGAAAAGGAAACAAGGAAGACGAGGAGGAGGAGGATGAAGACGATCAAGAGGAAGATGCTTCAAAGGTACGGAGATCATTTGATTGGATTTTCTCTCACCCCAACCGGTCGCAGCAGATGGCCCCGCCCCTCTCTGAGCCTGGTTCTGCTGGAGGTTTCTTCCTGTTAAAAGGGAGTTTTTCCTTCCCACTGTCGCCAAAGTGCTGCTCATAGGGGGTCATATGATTGTTGGGTTTTTCTCTGTATCTATGAAGCGCCTTGAGGCGACTTTTGTTGTGATTTGGCGCTATATAAATAAAATTGATTTGAAATCTTTAATGCTGTGCGATGATGGAATTGCACCTTTAAATAAACAGAATCATCCTTAAAATGTTATATTAAATGTTAAAGTTAGTTTGCATTAAAAGCTCCTGTGCTAATATTTAAGTTCTGACAGATGGACTGTTACAAATCGTGTGAGGTTTACTTTATCACAGGAGGAAATTCACTGTTCCAGCAGTCAGGACAGCCGAAGCTGGAGTTTAGAAAAGGTTGATGTTAATCTGTTACCTCACAGCTGAATCGCAGCAGTCACACTTTCCGTATATGATTTAACTTGCTGAAGTTTCAGCATTTAAATGGTTCGGTTATTTATAATTTATGATTTGCCCTCAGCCCCCATGATCGGCTTTGCACCACATTTCTAGAATCCTGGACGGTCCGTGTCTTATTGTTTGTCACTTCCTTTTATTTCAGAGCGCTGGAAACAGGGACCAGTTCGTGCAGGACCCGGCTGTGCTGAGGGAGCGAGCCGAGGCTCGAAGAGCAGCCATGCAGCAGAGGAAAGGGTAAAGACGATGCTCGGTTTGCGCAGGTTCGCTCTGCTCAGCTGTTTCCGTCCAACATGTTCTTGAAAATATGTGCCGTCTTCCCTCCTGCAGCTTCCGGCCAGAGCGTTCCAGCAACGTGGCCGGCCGACCCAAAGGACAAGGACAAACCGCTGAGACGTTACTGGACCGGCGAAAGAAGGAGACCAACAAGAGCCGTGTAGCCAACCACAACCGGCGCAGCATGGCCGACCGCAAGAGGAACAAAGGCATGATCCCCTCCTGACCTGTGGCTCAAGCCCAATGGACTGATGGGAGAAGGGGAGGATGAGGTGTGCGTGAGTGAAAGCTGAAGGATCCGGGCTCTGGTGTGGTTCTGGTTCAGGTTCAGCCTAAAGTCACTGTGAAAGCCGTCACAGATTTCGTTAGTTTTCAGAATGGTTTCGGTAAAACTGCATTTTGGCTTTTTCTTTTATTAAAAGTTGCCAACAAGCTTTACTGAACTAGTTGAGAGATCTGTCGTGTTTGAGCCCAAAGGATTTTATTCTATAGTTCAATAAACATCAAGTGTGAGCGAAGGACTGACGATAAAGAATAACATGTAACAAATCATTTTATTATTAAGATCCAGAGTGATCTAACAAAGTTTCTTTGACATCATCATCATCGACAAACAGACTACATAGGAGTAAAAGGAGGAGACGTTCAGGAGTTCCTTCTGTAGCTGGAAGAACAATTACTGACCTGGAGATCGAGTCTGGAATTCAGCAGCCGACTCGTCCTGTTCGAGCACGCGCGAAAGCTGCTGCACACGTGTAGCATCATCTACTCCGCTCACGCCACTGCTGTCCAGACTTCACCATAAATGAGGAAACTCCAACTCATGACGATGCTGTCGTTTGTGTTTGGAAGCACTTTCTGTAAGGACGGTCCTCGTGGAGAACCTCCTACACACTGCCACGCACACGCTATTTTCTATTCAGCGATGAGCTTTTTGTAACAATTTCAGCACAAAGTTCTGCTTTTTGGAGTTGGCATTGCAAAAAAACATCACAAAATAAATACAATAAAACTATATGTTTAACATACTTTGAGTTTGTGGTTATTGGCAAAGTAAGGAAATACACTTCAGAGTAAAAACGGTGATAATGATCTTCAGCTTTGGTAAGTACGCTGCTTCCTTTCTGTGCTTCAGCACTGCAGAGATTTACTTCAATCACAGTTTGGATATGATGTCTTCCAAAGAGCTGTTTGACATTTTTACTTAAAATCAGGTGAGAATGTTGTTACTGTGTTAGTAAACTGTACGAACCTACTGCCATTTACATCAAACACGGGGACAAAAAAACCAAAACTCAACTATGTCCAAACATGATTAAATCTGCCTGTCTGCACCTCTGCACGTCGTTAATTAACTCAATAGTCTTGGCTTGTAATCTAAAATGTCAAAATGGTTGTGCAGTGGATTTAGTTTAGTTTAATTTCCATATCTAAGTATATATACATTATTGTTAGGTAAACCTCTGGGAGAGAAAACTAAAAAGACAAAAACATGACCCCCTTATGAGCGGAACTTGGCAACAGTGGAAAGGAAGAACTCCCTTTTGACAGGAAGAGCTCGCTTCATCTGGACTTTCCCTCCAACCTTAAATTGGATAAACTTTTGAAAAAGAGATGGACGGACACTCCCACCCTTGAAGGCGTTACATGTCATGTTCAGTCAATTCTAACCAGTTAACCCTCACCTGTCCCAAAGCCTCTGGCCCTGATTGGTTTCTGTGATTTCAGGATTGGACAGGAAGTGATGTCAGTCCTGTTTCATTCATTTTCCTCTGTGAGTCCTGTGGACAGACTCCAACACCAGCTTTTGGACTACAGCTGTTAACAGACTTTGTCCTGATGCTTCAGTTACCCTGGTGTGTCAACATGTGAGTGACTTCCCCACCCGTTGCAGATTCTGGGTGGAGCACAGACTGTATACAAAAGTCCTGTTGCATAAACTGCTGTTTGCTCACTACCTGACGTTTTATTCAATAAGACTTGAAAGTGACAACAGGGTTTATGAAAGCTAACAAAGAAAGAGAGCTGAAGGTAATTTTAAGTTGATTTTTATGCAACCAGAACTCTTTCTGGAGCCACAGAGGAGAGAGATTTAAGGCCCGTCCACAGGCTACATCCAAATTAGCAGCCCTGCAGCTCATTGGTAAGGAAAGAGGATGGGCCATAAAGCTGACGAGGTTCTGGTATTCTGACTTTTTTAGGATGGAGCCCAAAGATAATTCATTTAAATGGAAAATAAGAGCTGACAAGACACTGCAGCAGATCTATGATTTGTAAAGTAAAACTGTAGCGGCTGTGAGAGCACTCGTTACACAGAGCTTCATAAAAAGGGAAAATATCCTTCTATGCTGCAAACACAATCCTACCTGTTCAGCATCACTGATTGTGCAGGTGAAACTAAACTGGCTGCTGATGTATGCTAAGCATGATTAAAGGAGAATCGCAGGAAAAATAACTAAAATGGTAAAGGAGGAGTTTAAGGATGTGTTTTTTTCCCTACATGATACCAGCTGGTACACACTGACTACAGAAGCTCCACAACTACCACTGAACTGCAAAGTACCAAAGAGGACCATTTTTTAAACTTTCAGTCCTCCCTGGTTGTTGGTTACTGACATCATTTTGACCTAAAGTGAACCAGGTGATCAGTACATCCACACTAAAAACATAAAAGCATTGAACGCCTTTGCACCAGCAGCTGACTCAGATACTGAGGTTGTCAGTTTTTACACATACTGATCCCAAAAACAGTTGCATTTGCTGCTGTTTACACACCGAGTTGTACAGTAACAAGATCTCAAGAAGAAGTTCTGTTCACAGATAACACGACCAGTGGGGAACTTCGTAGTACTGCTTTAAACTACCACTGTATGTTGTAGAGGTTAAAATCTGATGGCCGGTCAGCAGCGATGACAACTTTATGCTCCCAAATCCACAGCTGGAAGGTGGAAGTGTTGAGGTCGCTTTAACCAAAAACAAAAAACAAGTGTCACTGAGGTCGGGATGTGAACCGAGTCCCCGAGATGAAACGACTGTTAACTGTCTTTGCAGATGCTGCCTGGAGAGGAAAAGATTCAGACACACATCAGACTGACGATTAGACTGACAAAGACTTGAGACTTTAGTCTGCAGTGGATGAAGGCTGATCTTTTAAAGTGTTTTACTACAAGTAATTTTAAGCCTTTACAAGAGGATGACAGAGGCGTGTACGAGTGTGTAAACTCACTGAGGATGCTGCGCTTGCACAGAGGACAGGTGTGCTGCAGCAGCAGCCAGGGGTCGACACAGTCTCTGTGATACTCGTGAAGACACGGCAGCACCCGCAGACACTGAGACGACATTTTATAGATGCATTATTTATTTAAATCACAAAGTTAGCCAAAAAGCAGAGCGTGTTTGACTATTTACTCTCATCATTCAGGGTCACTCCCTTCTTACTGAATTAAACAGAGTGTTATAGTGTGTGTGTGTGTGGGGGGGGTGTCGGCCGACCTGGTTGTTGTTAAAAGGCTCCAAACAGACGGCGCAGGTTTCCGCCTCTGCCAGCTGCGACGGGTCACACCAGGGTTTGGGCTGACGGTATCGTTTGGTCTTCAGGGATGACATTCTCTTCAGAACGTCCTGTTTGGGAAGGAGCTGAAAAACACAGGCCAGCAGAACATCTCATGTACCGCTGATTTTTATTTCTGTGTGGTAGGGCTGCCACGATT